TTTTTTTTTGGTCTGAAAATAAGCTCCTGGGTCAACTTTCCAAGCAGATAAGTTCTATTAGCAAAGTAAGCACCACTAAACATCTACTATGAGGAAACACACTAAGACAGTCACACGCAGGAGGAGGTCTGGCTTTAGCGTGCGTGCTTATCTGTATTTGATAAGAAGAGACAGGAAGCAAGCGCAGACAGAAAGCAGTGTGTTAGCAGGGGCTAAAGATCAAGACGGGAATTGAGTACCTGTCACTGCCTTCTGCTTAAAAGGGACATCGACTGGAGTCTTGCTCCTTTCCTGACCCAAGACACAGCCTGGTGCTTTAGAACCCACCCATAGGCGCTCCCCAAACGAGCACTGCAGCTTCCTGCCCCCCAGGTGGTCCATGGAATCGGGGAGTGGGTTGGGGGGGTGTGGGTGTAACTCAGGACGGAAGTGGAGGCTGAGAGTTGCGTGTGGATCACAGTCAGATCAAAGTCAGGCCCTGCACATCTACAGAGGACTTTCCTGATGGCTCAGTCGGTAAAGAAGCTGCCTGCAATGCAGGAGACACGGGTTTGATCCCTGGGTCAGGAAGATCTGCTGGAGAAGGGAATGGCAACCCACTCCAGTATTCTTGCCTGGATAATTCCATGGACAGAGGAGCCTGGCAGGGTATAGTCCATGGGGTCACACAGAGTCAGATGCGACTGAGCGACTTGAGCACATACCAGCACAGCAACTAAACAACAATAAAAAGGAGCTGCAGGGGCAGGGTGGTGACAGCGGCGCCATGAGCAGACAAGTGAACATAGAAATTCACATGGTCATCACGAGGGGTCTTAGTTCAAGGAAGTCCCTCACAGATAGGACTTAGGGTGCAAACGGAGGGGTGCGTACCTAATGATGCTCCCCAACCTCCGCTTCTGCCCCCTCTCTGCATCATGTAGATGGGTCTGGCAGGCAGGCCGTGGCTACTGCAGAAATGGCGTGGAAACCCTCTGCTTCCACGCAGACGTGAAGTAACGGGCTTGGACTTTGATCTAGAATTCCAGAGAGGATGCTGGGAGAAAGGGTAAGCATGGGTTGAGGGTGGAGTGGGGTGATAAGTCCCCGAGATGGAGATATTTCAGTGTCAGTCATGCTGTCAGCTCTTCTTTCCCAGGGTATTTTCTGGGAATGCACTCTGCCTTCTTATGAGAAACAGCACCGCACCACCTCCTCCTCACTCTGGGAGGCCACGGCCTTGGTTAAGATGCTGCCCAGGCTCCATAAGCCCTCAGCGGCGGGTGGATGAGGATACAGCCGGTGCTGGCCTCTGAGCCAGCTCAGAAAGCTCTCTGAAGTTAGCTGACACCGCGGCCGAGTTCAAGCGTGTCAGAGTGAGGGAGAAGCGCGCAGGGATTTGGCACTCGCCTGCGGGTGGCTGGAAAGAGTGTGTCAGCATCATGGATGCGCCTCCAGGCCGGCCAGGCATGCTCTCACCCCCACCCTCGGCACCGGAGCTTCGGTTCGTGTCCGCGGCAGCTGCACGGAGCAGTTGCTCAGCTTAAGTTTCCACACCCGGGCTCACGCCCCGTCCTGCCCTCCGATGATCTGGAGGGTATGAAGCCACCCTTGCCTGAGCGCGCTTCACAGGCAGCTTCCTTCCCTTCGGAGGCACTCGGGCACTGGGAGACGGGTCTACAGGGACCTCCCAGCCGTCTGCTCGGAGTTGCCCGTGTTCTCACCTCTGCCGAGGAGTGCTCAGCACTGCGTGTCACCGTTAGGGGAGCTAAGCTGTTATCCACTCCAAAGGAGCTCAGCTGCTCAGGCGGGTCCCCGGGACCCGGTGGTGGGTCCAGCACCTGTGACTGAGTCTTCCCCTTGGTTCATTAGTCCAGGGGCAAATGCAGCGATTTACATGTTTGTACAGGTTTGTATGTGTGTGTAAGATGTTTGTTTACACCCTCATTTCCCCCAATTCAGCAGATGTTCTAAACTCCCAAGAACACATTTTTCTCCCTTCCGTTCCTTGGACTCACCTCCTGCGCCTCTGCCCACGCAGCCCCCACTGGGCCACCCTCCTGACCCCTCAGCCCCATCCGTGTCCACCCACTGACTCCCCGCCTTCTCTCCTCTGCTCTGAACACGGATAGTGTCTGACAGAGCTGGACACAGCCAAGAGGCCCGTGACCCCCTGGCCTTTACGAAGATGTTCTGAGTTTATTTTTATCACATACCAGTATTCAGGGTTCTTTAACATGTATGTCTTCTGAAGGAAGTCTAGTAGCACGCGTCTGGGAAAATGAGAATGAGGAAAAGATCCTAGCAGTTAGGTACGGCCGTTCATAGTTAAAGATTATGTACGTGAACCAAGCTTGTGGCGTCTCCTTTCACAAACTTGCTTTTCTGCAGGGCCCCAATGTTACCAGCTAGAAAATGAGGAGGCTGAATCAGAGGGTCTCTTGGGCCATCTTTAGCTCCATAATTCCACTCTCAAACAACTCCCAAGGGTCGGTGTCAGGAGTGGATGTGGGTGTCAGGAGGGAGACGGGAGACCCGCATGGACTCGGCAGTGAGCTTTGGGGTAAGAGTGCAAGGGGGCAAGTTGGTAACATGGGGCGGCTGGAAAGGAGTGAGGAATTTGGAGACTCTATGCTTGGCAGATCCTCTCTCCCTCCCAGAAGTGTTCAGGCTGTGGGCACCTTGCTTCGAAACCCCTCTCAGGTCAGGATGATGCTGGCGGCCTGCCCTGAGCTCTCTCTGAAGCCATGCGGTCATCTTCCTATCACCTGATCCTCACGGCTGGCCTTCGATCCAGAGGAGCCGCCTGGCACATGCTGCCCGACAGCGACACAGCTACAGGTGAAACAGCGGGCAGGGAGGCACGTGGGTGTGCATAGGGCATGTGTTCAAAGACAGACACCAAGTATTTTGCCCTGAAACAATAGCAAAGAACTTTGGAAAGCCTCTTAAGTAAGCTAAAAACAAACCAACAACAATAACAACAACAACACCACCATTGTTGTATAAAGGTAATAAGAGACAAAAGTTTAAACTCATGGGATCCAAAAGGGAGTAGAAGAAAAACCAAGAAAAATTGCCAAAACCCTGTGCGTGACCACAAGGAACCTTCTGGTGGATTGCATAGCTAACTGGACAGGCCGGGGAGGCTGCCTGAGCAGAATGTCCTGAGCCAGCCCGGGAGGAGGGCGGGCTCGCCTGGAGGTTCTTCCCGGGGAATCTCCAGCTGGCCTGCCCTGCCCTGCCCAGCGCTGCCCCCCCCCCCCCCCACCCCCGCCCTGACCTTTCTCCCTTCCTCTGTAATCCCGGGCTCCCTCCACCCGGCAGCCCGGATACCCAGGGCCCAGCGGTGCCTCTCTGACTGCTGGGCGCTGCTGTCTCGAGGCCCCAGTGCAGGCCCAGCATCCCTTCACCTGAGGGTCGACAGTGACATAAAACGGTGGCTCTGCAGCTGGCCTTGCCTGGGGATTTCATCAGAAATGGGTGCGGTCCTCGCTGGCGAGGGCCCGGCCCTGTTACACTGTATCATCCAAGAACAACTATTAACCACGTCTGGGAAGGGTGAGTGGTCATTCCAGCCCAGCTGAAGATTATATAACGGGGCCTGTCTGGGTGATGTCGGCTGAGACGAGCGCAGACCAGGCTCATGCCTGTACTCGGGGCCGGCCTGGGCGCCCTTCATGTGGCTCCTGCAGGAAGAGAGAAATCCATGCATCTGAACTCTGGGAAAGGAAGAACTCACTCAGGTGGGATGGAGCGTTCCACCTGGAGCCAGCATCTCGGACGACAGACCAGCTGTGAGGCCTTGGGCTGCTGACACTGACCTACAGTACTTCTGCATCGTACTCTCCAGCTGACAGACACATTCCTGCAGCCGTTTGATTCTCACATTAACCCTGTGAAGTAGCTTTCAAAAAAAAAGGGAAGCAGAGACTCGGGTTGGTTGGCTGACTCACCCAGCTCGCTGTGAACGCTCTGGGCCTCTGAGCTTCAGTTCCTGACTCCAGGACACGTCTCTTCCTGTTGACACTCTGACATACAGGGACCTGGATCCCTGAACTAGGGTCTGGCTTCCCTCATAGCTCAGTTGGTAAAGAACCTGCCTGCAATGCAGGAGACCTGGGTTCAGTTCCTGAGTTGGGAAGATGCCCTGGAGGAGGAAATAGTAACCCACTCCAGTATTCTTGCCTGGAGAATCCCAGGGACAGAGGAGCCCGGTGGGCTGCAGTCCATGGGGTCCCAACGGTTGGACACCACTTAGCGACTAAACCACCACCAACAAATTCCAGGTGTGGGGTCCTTTTTTTTTTTTTAAGAGATTTTACTTTTTTATAACAGTTTTAGGTTTACAGAACTGCTGAACAAAAAGTCCCGAGTTCTCATGTGCCCCTTCTCCTTACCTTGTCTGCTAGTTCCCCTTAGTAACTTTTGTTTACTGTGGTGTAGTCACTACAATTGATAAACTAATATACAGTAATTATTAGCTAAAGACAGTAGTTTACACCAGGGTTTGTGCTTCTGTTGTGCTCTGTCTATTCATCCCTACCGCCCCCAACCGCGCTTTTTTTTACCTTTGAGATTCATTGTTTCAGTTTTTGTGTGTGTGTCTTTTTAAATGTATAATAGATACTATAAGTGGCAATTTTGGAGTCATTGAGCATAGCGATCATTTTCATTGTTTTTCACCCAAAGTAAGAAATTGTGTATTTGTTTTCTCTGATCTTAGGAAAGAGAGCTCTGAAGATTATTTTCTTCCTCTTTAACGCAAATAGTCACCTTAACTTGGGCTTCCTAGGTAGAGCAGTGGTAAAGAATTCACCTGCTAATGCAGGAGACTCAGGTTCTATCCCTTGGTCAGGAAGATCCCTGGGAGAAAGGAATGGCAACCCACTCCAGTATTCTTGCCTGGAGAATCCCAAGGACAGAGGAGCTTTGTGGACTACAGTCCACGGGGGTCGCAAAGAATAGGATATAGCTGAGCGCACACACACACAATCACCTTCAGCTCACAAGAGAGGCAAACATTTAAAGTTTATTGAGTGTAATATATTCCTGCTGTAGAACAGTTAAGGATTATCTTCGGTCTTCCTCCTCCACCCTCTTCCAGGCATTTTCTGGGGGGTTTGGATACATGAAGCCAAGAGTCTGTTTCCAGGCTGCCCCGCGCCCTCTCTGGGTCACTCCAGTCATCCCCAGGCACTCTGGGAAATCCAGTCTGTCTTGCTTGGTAAGAGAAGGTGCAGTGCCTATGACATTTGCTTTGAAAGGACCATCTCTGCCCTCCTGAATCTTCCCAAGGGGATTCTGAAGGGTGGAGGAGACTCTCTGGCTTACAGGTCTATCTTCCCGGGACCCATCTTCTGGCCAGTGACCCTGTCTTTTATCCTCATGACCCCACCAAAAAAAAAAAAAAATCGCAATTCTTTAGTCTGGCTGTGAAAGAATAAGGGGTTTAGCCATAATGCTGCGTTGTTTACATGGTAAACAAAACTCTACCACCAGTGGACTTTCTCTGAGGAGGTAACTGATGATCTCAGCTGTCTTTCTTAGAACTGCCTCTTCAGTTGAACCTGGGAAGAGGGAGAAAAAAAAAAACACACTTCTCAGAATGATTAGCATTTGCATCATACAATCCAACTTCCTCTCCTCCTCTCTCTCTCTCTCTCTTTCTCTCTCTCTCTGTGTTTCTCTCTCTCTCTCTCTCACACACACCCTCCCTCTTTCCAGTCAAGAACGTTTCAAGAGGTCAGTGCCGCCCCCATGTCTAAAACTTCAGTGTTTGCTTTGCAGGGACTTTTCCAACTTTACCTAGAAAAGAACTAACCAGAACCTTAGCACTTGTGGTCAGCGTGCTTCCGGCTGTGGCTTGAGTCGGTTTGTCTGCTCTGACAGAGGAAGTGCTTGCTGTGACGGGAACCGCGCTGGCTGGATTGTAGGAGGACCGGGGCAGACAGTGCCTAAGGACATTGGTATGTGAGGTGCCAGCAGCAAGGAGGGCGAGGGAAGCACAGAGGGGCTCCCAGACCCAGGGTGACAGATGTGGCCGGCCAACAGGCAGTGGAGACACCAGCCCTCAGCCAGCCCCTCCTGACCACACCCCCCTCCCCCCAACACACACCCGCCAAGATGAGTTCATGCATAAACAACATGTCTTCGCTGGAGATGACTTTCTCAAAAATTCAGTGGAACCTGGGACACTGAGACATGTTTTTGACCTGGAATTGACATGAAGGTGGGATTTTTGCAAACGTTCAGAGACCTTCAGAGTCTGGCTGGCTGGAGAGGCAGGGGTGCGCACTTTATAGGAGTCTCTGAGCGCTTTAACCAGCTCAGCATTTGCTGTGAAAGTCTGAGCTAGATTGAAAGTCACTTCTCTCTCTGCTCCTCTGCTAAGGCTGGGATAGTCTTAGGATTTTTCCTGTAGAGATTCAGATCTCTGTGTGGCCAGGTCGTGCTGGTGAGGAGCCTTCACATTGCATTGGAATTTACCCTACCGCACAGGATGTAAAACCCAGTGGAAATGGAGAGCATAGTTTGGCCAGAATAGCTAATTTAAACTACTAGATACTCGTTGGTAATTTGAGATTTGACTTAACAGTCAGTATGATTATTTAAGTAAAATACTGGCTACACCGAGGATCTCAGATTTTTGGTACATACCCATGTCAGGGCAGAATAGCTAATGACACCCACTCTGCTTCTTACTGTTAGATGTAAATGTTAGAAGAGTGCTATAAGGGAGAAGCTTGAAGGTGGTCACCACGAAGTGTCTAAAACAGGAATTCCTGTCCCTCCATTTGCACTGAAGACTCTCATGAGATGGAGAATGAAGACTCATCACTAGGATCCAGGCACAGGGTCCAAAGTGACCTGTAGAAAGGATGCCGCTTCTGTAAAATCATGGGGTTTTACCTTTAAATCTGATTCAATTTCATGTTCTGCTCCAGGGCATATTTTGAGGCTAATGTATTTGCAATCATTTACCATTGACTAAGATGGAGATTCTAATCAGATGCGTTCTTTCTGTCTGTTGCTTTGTGTAGCCCTCAGACAGGGTCTTCATCCCCGGGAGTACAGGGAGCCCACGTACAGAAGCACAGAGAAAGCGAAAGCAAACAGTATCAGAGTGCATCTCCCGACCTTGCGGGGAGGAGCACAGATGCCAGTAGCAGCGACCTGAGGGCCAGTGGAGCCCGTTCACCGTTCCAGCAGATGCTCGCTGGGCACCGAGCGCTTGGAGCTGAGACTGCAGTGGGCTCCACAGAAGTGCAGAGCCATGCCCTGCGGCCACATTCCCGGCACCACTGCCCCTTGGGAATAGAGGGCCTTGCCATCTTATCTCTAGACCCTCAGCACTCAGCCCTGTGCCAGGCACAGAAATTATCAGTGGTCTTTTCAGTAATCGGTTGTTAGATGGGGTCTGTGTATTTTGCATTTGTCAGAGGCCTTTCTGAAACCGTTGCTTAGGAGTCACGGGATCACATCACACACCCCACAGAAGAAGGTCGGAATCCATTGAACAAAGTCTCTTTCCCATCTATAGTTGTTTGGCCACTTGCTCTTTAGAATAAGAAACTGTTCTTTAAGGTACGTGCAGACTTTGCATCGATTTTCTGTATTCTTTTGAAGGCCTGTTGAATGTGGATTTTGTTTGGAAAGCTGTTTTCTATTTTTGTGGAGGATTCACTAAGCCAATGCACATATGAAAGACCTGAGAGCCAGGTTTGAGGTGAATCCTCTGGCCGTTTTCAACAGTTGCAGGTTCCTCTGTGCGTCAGGCAGTGGTGACTGTGCTCAGCTTCGCCCCAGCGCCTCACCAGGCGGGGGCTCCAGGTCGCTTCCTGCCCTTCCTCACCCCTGCAGTCCCTGCTCCCTCCCTGCCTCACCAGTCCAGCTGTCCAGCCGGCATCGCGCGCGGGCCCACCACAGTCTGTCTGCTGTCTTCTCCGGCTCGGGCCACTCTGGTTTCCGCCTGCTCAGTAGCCCTCACGCTGACCCCTCGCGTGGCCAAGTGCAAACCTTCCCCGAGACCCAGGCCTTCCAGGAAGAGGACACCAGCCACTCACAGCCCCCGCAGTCACGTCCGACGTTGACCTGACTCTCACTCCCTTGACACAGCCTAGCTGCTTTCTTCACTTCTGCTTTTTAACAGAAACATCCACTTTCCTTAACTAAACTGTAGGCACTCTGATGGGTGGAACCCTGGTTCATACTTAGGTTTCAAAGCCATGACCCCCGTAATGAGGTCCAGCAGGCAGGGACCAAATGCAGAGGCCTCACTGCTGGGTTGCCAACACCAAGTATGTAAAGACTTCTGAAGCAGTTGTATTTCTTAAAATGTTTTCTTCCGAGAGTGCTTATGCTTTTGAGTTGAATCCAAAGAACTAGCAAATATTCCTTCCAGATATACTCAGCAATAGCAGCTCACAGTTTATAAACACCAGGTCATTCTCAGGGTCTCCTATGAAATACAGGGATTTCCTTCTTCCCCGCCCTCTACCAGTCACCCTCTCTCCTGGGGCTGGGTTCTGCGCTGCCACCTTGGAACACCCTCCCGACAGGGTGTCTGTGGTATCCCCATGGATGGTGTGTCTGCGTGCTCTTCAGAGTCTGACGGCTTCAGTGGGACTTTGGGGCTTTCCTCTTCCTCTTGCTTCCCCGGGAGTCAGTGTGCAGACGTGTGTAGCCATCCCCGTGGATGTCCCGCCTCAGGTGCGTGGTTGGTCTCCTGCAGTTGTGCTCATGGTTGCCAGCCTGGCCCCCCGATCTCTCCTGCTGTCCCGGGGCTTGAGCTGCCTGTAAGCATCAGTAACCCCCAGACACCTGTCCCCTCCATGTGCCCTCTCCTGATCAGCCAGGCCATTTCCCCCTGAGAGGGACAGAGGGGGAAGGCGTGATGACGACTCGGGATGGTGAGTGTCGTCAGTGATGGCTGACCATATGCGTTTCAGCATCGCTACTGTGCTTAAACATTTCCAGATGTCTGCTCTCCTCTTCTTCGCTGTAGACACAGCAGAGAACCAATTGCAGCCATGGCAACAGTCCAGAATTCTAGGCTGGTCATCCTCAAGACGGAATGTATTTGTCAAATGCTCTTTTGCCTACGGCCCTGTCTGTGGAGGGAAGCTGATGAGATGGAGTGGAGGCTCCTGTCAGGGCACATGTGAAGGGAGTGTTGATCACGGCGTGCGGCGCGGGCAGGGAGACAGTGTCATATTCCTCCCCCCACAGGCATTCGAAACACCTGAGGTTCCCCGTGTAAGCATTAGTTACCAGGCCACCCAGCAAACAGTGGGTTTACCATTCCTTGTGTCCACAAGTGTTTATCAAGGGTCTGCTGTGTTTTAGTCCCAGTACTGAGGTGGTTCCTGGGCTCAGGATGCGGGCAGGCTGGAGACTCCCCACATGTCTTATACAAACGCTTTAAAGTAGGTGGGACAGCCTGTGCCGGTGTGGTGCCTTCTTTGTGATACTGCCGACTAGTTCTTGTTTGGTTTCTGTATTGCTAGATCACGTTAGGTCAAGACGCAGTTGTCTTGCTTTTTAATATTTAGACATGTCTTGTGGGATCTTGTTCTTGATTTTGAGTGTGTTGATGCCTTGTCTTGTGTATGACAGGTTGGCAAACTCCGGCCTGTGGGACAAAGTGGGCCTTCCGCCAGCATTTATGAAGTTTTATTGGGAAACAGCTACCCCATTCATTTGTGCACTGTCTGTGGCTGTTTGGGGGCTACATGGCGGATTCATAGCGACAGAGTCCGTATGGTCCAGAAAGCCAAAGATCCTATCAGAAAATACTACCCAGAAAGATTATGCTGACCTCTGGTGTACGCAAAGCACCAATAGCAAATTCTGCATGTGTGTTGGGCGGGTGGGGGTGGGGTGGTCATGCTGTGTGTTAGAACGTTTATTAGAATTTGTCCCGATGAGATGGGAATGGCCCAGATGAGACATGATCGTGCATGCATGTGGGAGGAGCAGGTTTCCCTCCCCTTGCCTTGGCTGATGAAGCGTCTCTGTGGTTCACTCCTACCTTTCCATACAGCACTCATCTATAAAGTGTACTTTTTAGGAGAAATGGGAGAAAAGCAGATGTGGGCAGAAAGAAGTGAGGTGGGAGGAAGAGTCCTGTCCATTCTGTTAACCAGCAGTGAGAAATGGTGTTTATACGTGTGCTGCTTCTAAGTCGCTTCAGTCGTGCCCAACTCTGTGCGACCCCATAGATGGTAGCCCACCAGGCTCCCCTGTCCCTGGAAGTCTCTAGGCAAGAACACTGGAGTGGGTTGCCATTTCTTTCTCCATTACAGGTATGAACAACAGGTATTAAAAGAAAGGGTGGACCTCTGACTTATTTGCAATAATGTCTTTGTCACATTAAAATAACCAATATAAATCTTTTCCTTGATGTGTAAATGCAGAACTGATATTCTTGAAGTACTTATTATGAATTCTAAGCTGCTCATATAGTTGAGTTGAACACATGTTCATCATCACAAATCTCATGTAACCCCTAAGAGTATCCTTTTGCTTTCTTCAGAGTATATATGTGTTTTAGTCCTAAAAGTCCAGTTCTCTTCAGATACAGAAGCATTAAAAGGGATATCTGTTTCTCTTTCAAGTTTGCAATTTGATTGCAGTCACTAACTGTTGAATCTGCCTGGCCTACCCTTCGGGTAATATTGACGAAGGGATGAAAATATCACTTAGACTAAGGGACCAATTTTGTGCTGGTAAATGTTTGGGAAAAGAGGGGGAACTGATTTGTCATGTTTGCCACTTTGAATACTAACACCATGGCCATTTCAAGTGACCAGTGTGATGTTACTGAAAGCAGAGTTGTAAAGAGTTATGCGATAGGACCCTATTACAGTGTTTCCATCATACAGCCATGATAGAGATGAATAACCTCAAGAGCATGGATAGAAATAAAATGTGGGAAATGAAAAAAAAGAAAGGGTGGAGGTGGTGAGGGGAGGAGACTGAATGGGTCTTTCTTACACCAACCAACAGCACAGGCCAGCCATTTCAGGAGTGGAGGAGCAGGAAGCAAGAGTGAAGGGTGGTGTTCGTAAGCTCACAAGGAGGGCAACTGAACCCACTCTCCATTTGCAGCCTCCTGACAGTTGTCTGCCCGGAACACACCCATACACGTAGCTGGTAAATCCCACAACACTCGGGATCCTAAAATCCGCTCACTCCTAGAGTGTGTGTTTGCCAGTGATTTTGGAGTTTAAGTTGGGCAAGATGGAAAGGATCCCTGAGGGTGGCTGGTGGTGACGGTCGCACAGCAGAGTGAACGCTCTTAATGCCACGGAACTGTACACCTCGAAGTGATGAAAATGGCTGAGTTGTGTGTACAGGACCACAGTTTTAAGACTCAGATCTCATTAGCTCTGTAATTTGCAGAGATCACAGATGGAATGGCAGTGTTAGTATTCAGAGTTGAGAAACTTTGTTTGGAAACCCACTTTGACCCATGTGTAATTTTACAGTGATTTCTTCTAGGAATTAAGAGAGTTTCCTTACACTCAATTACAAAGATATTTACTGAATGGTTTTGTTTTTGTTTTTTCAAATACACAGTGCAGTACGTTAGTTCTGTAGCAGGCAGAGACAGCCTGATGAACGATGTTGCCAAGTCTGGATGGCATGGTAGACCCATACACGTAGCTGGTAAATCCTACAACACTCGGGATCCTAAAATCCGCTCACTCCTAGAGTGTGTGTTTGCCAGTGATTTTGGAGTTTAAGTCGGGGAAGATGGAAAGGACCCCTGAGGGTGGCTGGTGGTGACGGTCGCACAGCAGAGTGAACGCTCTTAATGCCACGGAACTGTACACCTCGAAGTGATGAAAATGGCTGAGTTGTGTGTACAGGACCACAGTTTTAAGACTCAGATCTCATTAGCTCTGTAATTTGCAGAGATCACAGATGGAACGGCAGTGTTAGTATTCAGAGTTGAGAAACTTTGTTTGGAAACCCACTTTGACCCATGTGTAATTTTACAGTGATTTCTTCTAGGAATTAAGAGAGTTTCCTTACACTCAATTACAAAGATATTTACTGAATGGTTTTGTTTTTGTTTTTTCAAATACACAGTGCAGTACGTTAGTTCTGTAGCAGGCAGAGACAGCCTGATGAACGATGTTGCCAAGTCTGGATGGCATGGTAGCAGTGCCTCTGTGGTCTCTGCTGGTAGAAGTGACGCCCTCTTTTTTCCATCTGGGTTCTAGGAAAGAAACCTAGACTGGTTCCCGAGGATGAGAGCCATGTCCCTGGTCAGCAGCGATTCAGAAGGAGAACAGAATGAGCTGAGGAACCTGCAGGAGAAACTGGAGTCCACCATGAAGCTTGTCACCAACCTCTCTGGACAGCTGTCAGAATTAAAGGATCAGGTAAAGAAAAGAACCTTACCTGCCTACACACATACACACACCACTACAATACACACCAAATTTGGTGAGGGAGGAAAATTTAAAAAAAGGAAAACAGTAGTGCTCATGTTACAATGCTGAAGTTTATCATCTGGACAAAAAAGGAAATGGGTGATAAGCCCATTCAGTCCATCAGTTTCCTCTCCGTTCCCCCCTCACTGCCCCTTTGACAGGATAAGCCTAGGACACCACTTTCAGTGCTGCTCAGGACAAGGTTTTAATGTGAAAAACAAAACCAGAAAATGAGAAAATGCAAACTACTTCAGTGAAGCGCTGTCCAGAAAAACACACTGTGTAAAACTGCCCTGTCTTCTTCACTGACAGATGATGACAAGCTGTTTCTGGCTTTTCTTTCCAGCCCTCAGAACTATCAACTCCTCTCCCCAGGTACTTACATTCAGCATCCAGGGGATAAACCCTAGTCCAGGAAGAGCCCCCTCCTCACTGACTGGCTGCCATCATCCAGACAATAAGGCAGGTGCTGGGGGTGGGACAGTGAGCACTCCGAACACACCCCTGCCGTCACCGAGCTTAGCAGTCCACACACATGCTGCTGCGTCCTGCTCCGTCCCTAAGATAAACGCCTTGCCCCTGTAATTAAGCCAGGGGAAAGCGGCATCCTTTTTACCCCCTCCTAGCCCCCTTAAAACAAGCACTCACAGTCACCAGGTGATGACCTCCGTGCTGGGCCAACCTGCGCTCAGCCACATTGATTGGGATCCCCCTGCGCACCGTGCTGAAAGCTTTTTAATCAGTTCCATATACGAGATTATACATTTTACAGAGCAGTAGTTACCAGGCCAAGCTGGCCCGGAGGTAAGTGGTAAGGTAGACCCGCAGCTGCTTGATTACTCTGGGGAACATAATAACTAGTGAAGACTCCGCCTAGAGTCAACTCTTCGTGGAGGTGGTTTCCATGGCACTTTAAGCAGTCCTACTTTGCATTATGTTTCTTTGCCAACTAAATTATTCCAAACTGAACCTCAAGATAGTATCTGGCCTCAAATTAGTTTCTTTCAGTTGTATTAAGGTGCAAATAAAAAGACTAATGAGAGGAGAAAGCCTTATTTATGAAGGCTATCTCTGGTGCTGAGCTGGGTAGCCCCCTAAAATGACTAATAACCTGCATAAGTAAAACTTAGATATAACTAGTTTCCTTTGCTTATTGTTTTATTGAGTCTTTAACGCTGCTGTGAAACCACAGTGGTCCCCAGGACTACACTGACGCACGAGTCCGCCTCCTGAGGCTGCTTGGGTTACCCCCGACCCGAGTGAGGCGAGCCCTCTAACGCATGGATGAGCTCCCTTCCTCTCCCTTAGAGCTGTGGCTATAAGAATCGCCATTAAATCAGGTACTTTAAATTAGATGCCAAAAACTCGTAAGAGAAGTTGATCTAATACAGACCTAAGTAAAGGAAGCAATTAGCTCTCTATACAGTGCCGTCTGTAAGCACGCCTGAAGCTATTATTGGGTAGTCTGTGGTGGTAAATGCCATGCAAGTAGGCCCAGCCTGTCCTCTCAACACTAAGAATCCGGGGTGTTGAATTGCTCCCTGAGGGTGGTTCTCAAGCTGCTTCTGTGATGCACACTTCGCAAAGCAGTGAACTTGGCCTAAGGAGTGAGTGGAGCCGAGGAATTCACCCAGAATCATAGGTGTACGAGGTACCCAACACCCCAGGTGGCATCAGACCCAGTTCCATCCTTTTGTTTGTTGAGGATACTAAGATACACAGCAGGCAGGAGCTCCTGGTCTTGCCAGCTAGGCTTGTTTCCCTTGTTTTGTTTTCTCCTTGTACCCTGTTTGCCTTTCATGGTTGACTGTTTCAATTCTTACTCATTTTTTTAAAAGTTAAGAGTTTCAGAAGTCACATCATGTATCAATACTTAAACATTATGAAGGATACATTCATTGCCATGTTACATAACTGATATAATAGACTTGGCATCAGGATTGTTTCTATGAAGCCAGAATTTTGGCTTGAACAACCTATGTAAAACTATGATTACATATGAACTAAGGTTCATTAAGTGACATCAAAACCAGTGTGGTTTAAACTGCTTGGTTTCAGCTCTTTTTACATTTTTGTTTTAAAGTCAGCCGTTGGAACCACCCTTCAGAAAACCTTACCCTTATGAATGACTTTGAAATTGAACCACTTTTTCCTAGAAGATGTTATAGGCTGAAAAGAAATAGGAGGAAACCAGTAACTTATTCTAAAGTACCTTTACCAGGATTGATCTGCTTAGGTTTTAAGGTGTCCAGAATTACAGGAAAAACTCAGCATTGCTGCTTTTACTGGGGGAAACTTGGTTCTTTCAGAAGGAATTAGTCAACAGTTTCTTTGACTTTGTAGCAAAGCTTTACAGCATTTTTTGGAGAATCAACTTGTTGAAAAGATTCACATTTTGTTAATGTGGTGTGTAACAATCCTCAATATTTCTTAACCTTTTCTGCATAAAAAGTCATGCAGATAGGCAAAGAACTACTGGTTCTTAAATGGTAATTGTGAGAATTCTTGCTCTCCAAAGGGAAAAAAAATGTTGAATTAAAAAATAAAAAGCCCACAAATGATTAATGAACGAGAAACTCTGTTATATTTTTTAAACCAGCTATGAAAGAATACCATTCAGTAGTAACAATGCTGGAAAATATAAAAATTGCTTCATCACTTAGATATTTTTTTTCAGATCTTCTGGTCCAAAAAAACAGCATAATTGAGCAAAGATAGTTGAATGTCTTTGGCTTTAATCTTTGTTGTTACTGACCTCTCTGGCGCTGGTTTTCTTCAAACACCAGTTTGAGAAGAAAAAGTTCTTATCAAGGATACTAGTAAAAGTCTGGTTAGTGGCTTTTCTATTACTGTCAAGAACAGTTAACTAAAATTGCTATTCTAAGTGTTAGTTCATGGTGCTGCTCATCCTCAAGTTTCCCCTCCCAAGAGATTCTGAATACAAATGTGATTCTAAAATGTTATGAAAAACCCAGAAGAACTTTCCGGCCAATCCAGTAGTTGTTAGTAGTGCTTGAAATTCTTATCATATTAACATGGTACATTGTTTGGCGTTTTTCACGCAAGAGGGTTATTAACCTGTTAACTACATAAAGAAGGAAGGGATAACATGATTGGAATCATTCCTCACAGCTGGAAAATGGGATATTAAACCTTACCTGAAGGTCTGTGTTCCTTAGCCTGTGTTGGAATCACAGAAGAGGCCCTCTAGGATACTGTGATCTATGCAGAAAGCAGCAGACCTCTAACAACAGGACACAGCAGGAAAAGTACTGGGGCCCATCCGCCAGACACGGAGAGGCAGGCAGGCAGTCCCGCGCGGGGCCTGGGGCGTCACAGGCCCTGAGCTCCGGCAGTTTGACAAGGAGGTGACTTCTGAGCTAACAAGGAGACGCAGCAGGGGGCAGCCTGGGAGGGGAGTCGGCATGGGCAACGGCATGAAAGTGCCTGGCGTGCCCCAGCAAAGGCGCTGCGCTGGGGCCCTTTCACTTGTTCTTCCGGCCACTGTGTACTAAGCACCTGTCGGCCAGGTATGCAGCCCCAGGGACTGGGGTTACAAAGGTGAGCTAAGCCTCTTCTCCTCCTTCAAGGAACTGAGTCTGGAGTGGGAGACAAATACGTAAACAAATTAGAATTCAACATGGTAAGTATGTAACAGAGATTTGAAAGTTTGCTCTGGGAGTAAAGAAGAAGGCAGCACTTCATTCTGCCTGACCTGAGGGAGACGATCTGAATCACTGCCACGGAAACCTTTCAGAGATGGGCGTGCAGGAGCGTGAGAGAGTCTGTCAGGGGAACTCGAGAGGACCACTACACTGGGGACCAAGAATGTGACTAGCTGTATGTTTATAGTGAGTCAGTATACCTGCCTTTGAGAGAGGCTTCAGCTGTTCTTTTCAGTATTTTAGTCTCGTTCTTAGGAACATGACTGATATTATAGGACTGTGAAGATCAGTTAGATCAAAGTCAGTGGAATTCCAGTTGAGCTATTTCAAATCCTAAAAGAGGATGCTGTGAAAGTGCCACACTCAATATGCCAGCAAATTTGGAAAACTCAGCATGGCCACAGGACTGGAAAAGGTCCATTGTCATTCCAACCCCAAAGAAAGGCAATGCCAAAGAATGTTCAGACTATGCACAATTGCACTCATTTTACATGATAGCAANTGTGGTGTTGGAAAAGACTCTTGAGATTCCCTTGGACTGCAAGGAGATCCACCCAGTCCATCCTAAAGGAGATTAGTCCTAAGTGTTCATTGGAAGGACTGATGTTGAGTAATGTTGAAACTCCAATACTTTGGCCACCTGATGCTAAGAGCTTACTTATTTGAAAAGACCCTGATGCTGGGAAAGATTAGGGGCAGGAGAAGAAGGGGACGACAGAGGATGAGATGGTTGGATGGCATCACCAGCTCAATGTTGAAGTTGAAACTCCAATACTTTGGCCACCTGATGTGAAGAGCTGACTCATTTGAAAAGACCCTGATGCTGGGAAAGATTAGGGGCAGGAGAAGAAGGGGACGACAGAGGATGAGATGGTTGGATGGCATCACTGACTCGATGGACATGAGTTTGGATGGAATCTGGGAATTGGAGATGGACAGGGAGGCCTGGCGTGCTGCAGTCTATGGGGTTGCAAAGAGTTGGACATGACTGAGCAACTGAACTGAACTGAAAGATCAGTTGTGGTGACTGGAGTTTCCAGGCTACTTAGAATCTGAGTAGCCATGGCCTTACTGTGACAGGAAGGCAGGCTGCAGCTTTTGTGTGCTGTGGCTGAACTTTCTCTGCAGTGCGAGCCCTTAATCCTTTACACTGGTACAGCAGATTTTGCCCATTTGCAGTCGACACTATTTTCACGAAAAATCTTTTACACATTTAGTTGCTTCTGACCTGTAAAGCTACCATATCATTTGCTTTCTGTTTAGACTGAGTCAAAAAGAAGGCATACAGAAATTCAAGCTAGTCTCTATATAGTTTATGAAGAAGAACATTGCTTCAAATGTTCATCCTTAGCAAAATGTGGATTTTGAGGGTTTTTCAATGTATCTACTACAAATGGGACATTTTGCACTAATCAAAATAGATTTTTCAGTATTAAAATGTTGAGTTGTTACCTTAGATCTCAATCTGATGGATATTTTTATCTAGTCAGGTTTGTTTCAAAAATGTCCAGAGAGAATGTGCTAAGGATAGACTTTGTTTTGATATGGGTAATAGTAACAGATAATAATGATGCCTTAAATAAGATATATATATAGTGTACGTGAATCTATGTAGACAGACAGGTAAGTAGGTTTAATTGAGCTAATAAGGCCAGGAATTATGGGAGAATATATATACCAAGGGACCAGGGAAAACTTACCTGGTCAGCAGTGTTGGACTTGGTTTCCTATAGGCCAAATTCAGTCCCAGGGTGGGGTCTGTTTCACTGACTATCTCAGAAATAGGTCAAGATCAACAGGACAGTTACATTTTCATATACTTGAATAGTTTGAAAAAAAAATATTCAAGTATATGAACTACTTGGTTTTCTTTCGTTACTGTTCCCATATAATTATCACTGGATGAGAATCGTGTTCAAAGGGCCAAATACTTACTGCTCCTGGTACTTTAACATTGATTACTCACTTAGATGATGCCATTCTGTCTACAAGGCCATGGTTGATCAAAACAGAATTCGGGCAGTCAGATTTGTGTGCCGACCATGTGCTCAACTGCAGAGAATCATCCCTGAGATCTCATTTTGAGAAAATATACCCAAAGTACTTTTTAAGTATTCAAGTATATGAAAATGTAACTTTTCTAAGGATCTTGGCCTATTTCTGAGACAGAGAAATGCTCTTCTAGAGCATTTCTAGAAGAAACACAGCAGTGTGGTCCTAGATCCACAGCGTTAACAATACCTTGGAACCTGTTAGCAATGCAGATTCACCGACCTTACCCTGAGCCTCCTCTATGGAAACTCTGTGGGCCCTTTGATCTGTGTTGTAACAAGTCTTCGGGGTGCTTCTGGCACATGCCAAAGTTTAAGAATTATTATTCTAGGGAAATAGGAAGCAAAATTAAGTATGTGCTGAAAGTGAAAGTGTCAGTCGCTCTGTGAGGTCTGACTCTTTGCCCCCCAAGACTGTGGCCCGTCAGCCTCCTCTGCCCATGGAATTCTCCAGGCAAGAGTTCTGGACTGGGTTGCCATTTCCTTCTGCAGGGGATCTTTCCCACCCAGGGATGGAACCTCAGTCTCCTGCATTGCAGATGAATTATTTACTGTCTGAACCACCAAGGAAGAAGCCCCAGGGAAGTGTGTGCTAGGTTCTTGAAATTACCAGGTACAACCTCTGCTTGAACAAGGGTTTTGGCCACTCACCTCAGTAGGGAGCTTCAAGGTCAGGGACTGAGGGGCGGTGATGCGATCGTTATTTTAGGAAGACAAGCCTGGAGGATTAGAGTCGGACCGCCACTGAGGTGTCAGGTGATGCCTATAGCCAATAGATTGCAAAGTCACAGGAAGTCGATTGGACACACAGGCATGAGGCTACACAACATACAGAGAAGATCATCTCAAATGTAAGTAGAAATTTATAGAAAAATTTCAGGAAAAACTTCAGTGGCCAACTTCAACAGTGGAAAAATCTCAGCATCTTTAAATGGAAGCTTTGAGTACCCATCAGTACGAGATGAGCCCACCAAGATTCCTAAATCATTGAGAATGTGGAGATTATTAAATTTAGTGGGTTATGTTGGAGTCCTTCTCAAGGCTACCTGCCAGGGGACTAGTTTGGGGGTGAAAGTCTGGGCTGAGTGTGTGAAGTATCAGGCAGTGAGATAACTGACTGCATCACCATCTAGTTGTCAATTTATTCCATGAGTCACAGGAGGCTCTCCTGCAGCTGAATCTGTGAAGTATAGTAGAGAATTGTGAAACCTCCTTTAAAGATTTGTCTCTCATCTAAGGAAACTTTCGAGGCTAGCAGAATACCCCTAATTCAACTCTTCATAAGACGCTTTGTAAAAAATTACCTTTTGGAAATACTCACTTCTTGTAAATCTTCTCTCCTAAAATACAACTGAAGGCATTTCATAGGAGTCTCAACAAAGTATTTTGATATGAAAGGAAAACTGCTGTTTCAAATAAGGCAAAATAACTACTTTAAAATTGAATTGAGGTAACATATTCTCAAGGTAACATATTCTCGTTTTTACTTTCTCTCAGGGTATTTTGTACCAAAAATTAGTCCAGGTAAAACTGAGATATAAGCATCTACAATGTGATACACACTATTAGAAAATTTACATACATCCTCTCTATGAGGTCGGAATTATTACCCTCATTTTATATGAATAAAGAAACAGACTTTGAAAAGTTACAACAATAAAAAACCTTATGGAAATAGGTCTGTCTGATTCCAGTGCCCACATTCTTTATATTAATACTGCTAAACCCTAATTCCTCTCTGACTTTAGGAAGCCAAAAATCTAGAAGCAGGATCTAAAACCACTTAGAGATAACAATTTTATCCGATATTTCATATAGCTTTTTTACCTTAATTGATCTAAATGCCCAGCATCAAATCCAGAGTTGGGATAACTGGGTTAAGAAAAATCTAAATACAGGGAGTTAATTATGCCCTGAAATAGGCAGAACTGAGCTAGATACCTGTCAATATGAGAACTGGTTTAGTTCAGCCGCCAAATAAAAGGTCCCAACTTCTTGTCTGCAGTTTTGAAAAGACGGTTTCATTTGAGCAGCCTTAAGAAATGGTCTTTCCTGACCTTGGTGTGTGTAGGGGGTGAGGACTGGTCACCGCTGAGTGCCAGGCCATGATTTATGTTATTCAGTCGCCTTGGACCTGAGGTGTTAAGGACATTCTCATCTCCCTAGAAACGCTATGTGATTTTTTTTTTCTCTCAAAACTACCCAAGAACCATTGGAGAAAAACCGAGACACCCTGAAGACAATGGACTTAATCTCTCTCAAACTTAGAGTTCTAAACACATTAGACAGTTTCTTGAGTGTTCAGCATGTTGCAACTCTCATACAAAGCCATTATTTGGACGTAGATTTGGGAAACAAGAATCTTGTGCTTTAACTGCTCTTTGTTCCTTTATGAAACAAGTAGCAAGCAGAATTTCTGAATGTCACATTGCATGACTAGGGCACAGAATTCCCCATTCTGCCCAGGTAGATGTCCTTTTTGAAGCTGTGTGTTTGATATACTAACGGCATGCTATTTGTAGAAAGTGGGTTTCAGTATAAACCATAACCACAGAGGTAAGTCTATGGTTGAGTATACAAGTTGACGTACAGGAAGTGTCTGGGTCTAATGATGAAACTTTTTAACTTTCCAGATGACAGAACAAAGGAAGCAGAAACAAAGAATTGGTCTTCTAGGACATCCTCCTCACATGAATGTCAACCCACAGCAACCAGCATAAGCAAATGAACTAAAGGCATCGTATTTACCTTTTTAAATTATTTTTAGTGTGGGTCTTGCTAAATTAGTTCTGATGCACCCACAGAGGTTACATTTATGCTTAGTATATTTGTAAATACTCAGTTTTATACTGTATGTATATGATTGCTACTCTCCAGGTTTGGATATATGTATTGTAATTAGAATTGTTGGCAGGGTGAAATTTCATTTGTGCCAAAAAAGTATTTAAAATGCCTTTTGGGGAAGGACTAAAGAAAGCACCTGACTTGCACTTGAACCACATTATAGATTTAAAAGTATATGACATGTATTTTGTATTTAAGTCTAGAATAACCAGTATTTATGTTTTTTAATAAAACTGTGCAATACCAATTATGCAATCACCATAAATTTGTAACTCCTGTGTATCCTAAGGGGAGTGCACATCTTTGAAGCTGGTGTGTGAAGAGTATGTAACAAATGGTTAAATGATGCTGCTGCCAAAACCATATTACTAGTGAGTTTCGGGCCCCCAGGCGTTTTGTGCCATACAGTGACCCTGGCGGTGACAGTGCTTCTCGTTGCTAGCGGCACCAGTGCCTCTGTCTCCTAGTGACCGTGCTCCGAGCCTCGACTGTCAGGTCAGCATTCATTTTAAGAAAAGCAACTTTAGTTTCAAAGATACTTTTAGGCTTCTGAATTGATCATTTAAACTATATCTTTTAAGTAAGAGCGCTAAAGTAGAGGCTCAGACTTTAGTTTGCCAAGTTAATGAATTTTTTAAAGGGAAATTTCTAAGCCATATTTGAGGTAAATGCATACTGCTAGCCCATCAATGTCATCTCCAAGGTGAATTTTGGTGTCACTTCATAAAGAAATGAATAATTGATGGTCTCTAGATGATCTAGTCCAAACAGTTGATTTTTTTCCTTCATCAGAACCAACAATGCTAGAGTAGCTAAGAAGTATTAAACTATAGCCATCCTGATAGAGATGAAATATGATCTATCCCATTAGAACTCATAGTTTGAACACTGACATGTTATTCTTGTGAACGAGCCACATTTGAGTTTTTTTTCTTTATCACATGATTTCTTTGCTTGATGAATGAAAAGTATGAGAGGAAACTTTTATATCTGTTGCCTAGTTTTGTACATGGATCTCATTTTACAAGAGACTCTCTACCAAAAAACGTTTAAAAATGTATTGAAAGCTGAGTTCTGAAATGAGTAAAGTTTGTAAATGCATATATAAAAATATTTAATAAATGATGCAGAATAAAATACTGTGACTGAGTGATGGCTTTCATTTAGACGTTTCTGTACGTCATCACAGCTATTCCAATTATATATTTTCTTTAGGACCAACTTAAAAGTATAAATGGCTTACTTACCAGGTTGATTCTGAAAGTGCTTCCCTGAGGAATGAGAACTCTGAGAGCTCCTGAACAAATACAGGGGAGGGTTCAGTCCAGTGGCCACTGGTTCTTCTCGATGGGTGACTGCCAAGCAGACTGTCACGGCTAACGTGGGCACACGTGGTCGAGTCCAGAAGCTGGTTCAGGCTCCCGCTCCTGCACTTTCCCTGGGGGACCTGGAACTTGTCATCTGAGCAGCAAAGTCAGCTTTCCTTCAATGGGCAGAGGCCTGCGCGACAGCTGGAAATGTTTGACAAATCTAACTCACCCAAAGGCAGAGAAAGGCGTCCCCTCCTTAGAGCACTGCCTGCCCTGGTTGCTCTTATAACGCTGATTTCCTCTGTGCTTTGCTAAATAAGAGTAATTACCATCCAATGTCAGAAACTAGGTTGGGATTAAACTCCACTTAATGATTAACTTCAAAACCAATGCTTCTACGTTATAAATTTGGTAACTTAAAAAACAAGTGAATCATTTTCCAGTCAATACAGCATATCTCCATAGAATTTTTCCATAATAAAACCAATCCAAGATAGATATGTACTTGTATCTATGAGCAAACCACCAGCATGCCATGCCAAACCCTGCCACGTGAGCCCCAGCCCAACGAAGACCTGCTCCCGTTGGCTCTCCCTCTGACCTCCCGAGCTGCCCAGCCCGGCGAGGCAGTCTGTGTGGTTTGTCTCCCAGCCCCTGTCCACCTCATTCAGCGCCAAGTTCTGCTTTGACATGTTCAGGTGGCAGCTTTTACAGGCTTGTCATGTTTCATTTGATTCCTGTCACTTGAGATACAGATCTTCATTCAGTTCGCCAGCTTCAGCAGAAAATAAATGGAATTCTTCTCCACCCCACATGCAGTAGATTCTACCAGCGGAGTTTGGGTGTGAACACAAAGCTGGTACAACTGAAACAATATCTGAAATTATAGCTCCCGTGGCCTTTGATGTATAATTGTGATTTCACCTTTCTCCAGACACGGCTTTTTCAACACTTGTATTTCAAGGTCCAAGTCGCCTTTAAAGTTACTCAGTAGCATGGAAACTTACATTGCCATATGTAAAATAGCCAATGGGAATTTGCTGATGACTCAGGGAAATTAAACAGGGGCCCTGTGACATCTAGAGGGGTGGGATGGGGAGGGAGATGGGAGGAAGTTTCAAAAGGGAGAGGATATATGTATACCTGTGGCTGATTCATGCTGAGGTTTGACAGAAAACAAAATTCTGTAAAGCAATTATCCTTCAATTAAAAAATAAGTTACTCAGGTGAAGAATCAGTGCTATTGGACTAACAAATGTACAGCATAGTGCTCACAAGCAGGACAGGTTTTTCAGCTCTGATGATTTAATTTTAAAAGTTTGCTGTAGGACCAACTGAGATTTCAAGAATTTGCCAATTTCCTTAACTAAACCATGTGTTATGTCAAAGGGTCTGGGAAACTCCATTCCACTGTTCTGATGTTTATATTATCTTTCCCATTTCTACTTATGTCCCTAAAATTCTGCAGTGATAAACCCTGTTTCCTCCTACAAATAAAGCTTCCATTCTTCTGAGTCCTAAAGCTTTATTTGATACTCCACCCTGTACAACTGTTCTTAGAACTCTGTAACTCTATTCACACACACATACAAAATACAACTCTTTATTTTGTTTTTAAAAAATATGATTCAACTTACCTGTTTTTCTTCGGTTGGTTTCATTTGGTTCTACTTTCTGAAAATGAATTGCTTGATTTTGCGCTTGTAAAAACTGCTCTTTCACCCTGTTTAAACATTTCCTAACGTCAATTATAAAGCAAGCAAACTTTATTTGTGGGAGCTAACCAGCAACACTGTCTTTGCAGTAGCAACCTAAGCACAGTGTTACTTACGTGCTAATGGGAAATTACCAAGTTCTTCACGGTAAACTAAGGAATTATCACATTAAAATCTCAGTTATTGATTTCTGTATCTTCCTCCCATGGTTGGTTTGGATAATGTGCTAATGAGAGACAGCCTGAAAGTTTCTGCTAGTTGTTTTAAGGCTAATCATGAGAGCTTTCTGGGCTACACAGATGGAAATTTAGTCTTTTAAGACTATTAATTATGAAAGGAGAATAAGTATGTACTTATACAAGTAGAGTTGGGTTTTGCTAAAATAATGTTTTCACAGATTTGAAAAAACAAAGTGTGCTTGATAGCAGGCTTAATTTATATGACAATAAAACTCAAGTTTACACAAGACAGGATGTCATAACAAAGGACTCTTACTGAAGGTTCTTGAGACGATGTGTTCCTATCTGCCATAGAGCAGGAGTGAAACTTTGCATTTTTAATTGGAGAATAATTGCTTTACAATGTTGTATTGACTTCTGCTGTATGACAATGTAAACCAGCTATAATACATATATTCCCTTCCTCTTGAGCCTCCCTCCCACCCCCGTCCCACGCCCCGTCATCACAGAGCACGGGGCTGAGCTCCCAGTGCAAACGGCAGCTCCCCCCAGCTCCTATTTCACACGTGGTAGTGTGCAGAAGTCAGTGCTACTCTCTCGATTCGTCCCACCCGCTCATCCCCTTATTGTCCACAAGTCTGTTCTCTATGCCTGTGTCTCTCTTCCTGCCCTGCAAGTAAGTTCATCAGTGCTGTTTTTTTAGGTTCCGTATATACACGTGTGTGTTTTCCTCTTTCTGACTTATCTCACTCTCACAGGCTCTAGGTTCTTCCACCTCACTACAACTGACTCAAATGCATTCCTTTTTTATGGCAGAGTAATATTAGAAGTGTAAACTGATACAGCCAGTATGGAAAAACAGTATGGAGGTTCCTTAAAAATCTAGGAATAAAGCTACCATATGACCCAACAATCCCACTACTGGGCATATACCCAAAGAAAACGATAGTTCAAAAAGACACATGTACCCCAATGTTCATAGCAGCACTGTTTTCAATATCCAGGACATGAAAGCAATCTAGATGTCCATTGACAGATGAATGGATAAAGAAGCTGTGGTACATATATACAACAGAATATTAACCATGAAAAGAAAATTTTCATTGTAAAGGTAAGAAATTGAGCTCTTAGAGTGGTAAAGGAACTTGGCCAAGGACCTAAGTCCAGAATAAACGAAGGCCCCCTGACTCGGCCAAACAGGCGAGAGCTCTCACACCTACCATTTTCCCTCCATAAAAGGGCCATCATATCTTATTAGTAGCAGTTTCCCATAATGGTTCTTCCTTTACAGGAAGTCCTTATGCAGAACTATATTTTGTCCAATACATATGGATTTCCTTTTCAAACCTAAGAGGATCTACACGCTAGAACGTACTGAAGGTGATTACTTTGTCAAGAGTGAAAACTTTGTGGCAAAGATAAGGAGATTCTAAAATCTCTATCTTTTACAACTACCCATCTCATGTCAATACCTCTTATTTAACTGCATTTTTCAACAGGAGAACGTTTTCTCAGACAAGGTGGCTTTCTCCACATGAAATATCCCACACAGGCTGGCATCCTTTGTACCACAGAAGTCGGTGTTGATTGGCCAACCCTGCTTTCCTTTCGTTATACTGATCACTTGTTCACAATCAACTAGAATGTTGGAAAACCCCCATAAAGATTTCGATTTTACAGAAAGTACCCAAAATTCCGCCAGTTTTGCATCACAAAGTAGTGGTTAAAGTAGAGTTTTGAGTAAAATGCCATGCGTGTGGTTTTTGTGGGTGGTTACAGCTCAGAGCGACTCTTGGGCCCCGTTAGTAATCTCCAGGCGACAACGAGGCTGGCTATTACAAACTAAGACGATTCTGATCGTCGTAGCAAACGTCTCTCTGTCTTTGGTATCCTATGCCACCTTAGGCAACTCGCAACCTCAAGGCTGATTCAGAAGCATAACTAGCCTTCACGTCCGGACCTCAAAACCTACCCAGTGGAAGACAATAAAAAGACCACTGGCGGGTTTTTACACTGGGTTAAGTTTGACAATGCTCATGGGCTGTGAACTCCCCAGTTGCTGGTGGTTTAAACTCATTTGGTAAAATAAATCTCTAGCCCACTGGGGTACTACATTAAAAAAGAAAGAAAAAAAAAAAAAATAAAGAACCCAAGGAGAGACTTTAAATATTTTAAGGTCATGACAAACCAGTGTGAAAGAGAATCCTAACACCTAGAAGTGAAACTGCATCATCCACCCAGCCTGGAAAGAAAAAAGAAAGCTAAAAACCACGATCGATTAAGAATGCCGAGTCTGAGAAAACCCCTAAGGTGAATTCTGAACAACAACAAAAAAAAGAGTCCCACAACACAAGAAGTGCATACTGTATGCAAGAACTGCTAATGGAAAGAGTTCGCCAGCATTTCTGTAATGACCTCACAAAAGACAAGTGCTCCTATGTAAGTGAAACTGTAGACAATCCAGGAATTTAACCTGTCCATTTCAGAACTGAATTAAGCTAGTGATTTAATCTTTTTTATATACCTTGTCACCTATAGCATCTCATGAAAACTTGTCAGAAAGCTCTGTAGAAGAAAAACAATCTGAAAAGGCCACATACTAAATAAATCCAGGTAAATGACATTCTGGGAAAAAACACTATGGAGACAATAAAAAGAGCAGTGGTTGTCAGGGGTAGGAATGGGGCATGAGCGACAGAGAACACGGGATTTAGGGCGATGAGACCGTAAAGGTGGAAAGATGTTATACATTTCCAAAGCCCAAAGGACGTAAAAAGAGTGCGCCCTAATGTAAGCCATGGGTGATCATGCTGTCAATGTAGGTTCCCTCAACCATAACAGTGCTGAGGGATGCTGGCAATGAAGGAGTGGGAAAGGAACATGGGCGTTCTCTGTACTATCTATTCAATTTTGCTGTGAATCTAAAAGCGTTCTTAAAAAGAAAAAAGTTAACTAAACATTTTTTTCAAGAAAACAAAAAATGGTTGGATAAAATACTGACGCATGCAACATTTATGACCCTTGAGAATTTTATGCCATGAAAGAAGCCAGTCATAAAAGACCACATATAGTATGATTTCATGTATATGAAATGTTCAGAAGAGGCAAGTCAAGTCTATAAGAGACAAAAAATAAATGATTGGTTGCTCTGGGCTAACGGGGGTGGGGTGTCAGAAAGAAATGGGGAATGACTGCTAATGTGGGCTAAATTCCCAAGTCTTGACATGACATGTTTGGGTCATATGGAGTCATTTTTTAAAACTGTTATCTTTAACATCCAAACTGTGTTTACTATCCATTTGAACTGAATTCATAAATAAAACTATCATAGAGCTCACAACAACTGGATAATTATTCTCATATTTGTGATCAGTGTTGAATTTAAGTCTGACTTCCTTTTTACAGAACCTTCAGAGAAAGACATTTATTTTATCTAGGGGTGATGATGTATCTCTTTAGTTTATGAAGTACTTTTATCTACATTTAAATCTCCCAACCCTGTTAGGTAGATATTATCCCTGACATGTCCATGGTCCTATGTTGTACCATCTTTCACATTCAGATGCAAGTTTTAGATAGTATCTCATATAACTGTGTGAAGCCCATGACTTTCCTTAACAATTGCAAGGATTCTAAGTTGAGTGCTCACAACTTGGTCACTTTTTGATCCTAAGTCTTGATTGCAACCTAATTCTCATCACCTCCCCTCTCTCTATTCCACCCCACCCTAGTGTAGACACAGCTGGCTCTACCCTCTGGTCTAAAACACATGAACATCCGGGTGTTGTGAAGAGCAGGCCTCTTTAGAGTGTAATACTAGGACCCACTTTCTTTCATCACCCCTGCACAAATAAAGGCAAAATAAAAACAAAATTTTAAAAAAAAGTTTCTTCCAGCTTCAACTAAAAGCTAAAATTTGGGACTTCTCTGGTGGCCCACTGTCTAAGGCTCTGCACTCTCAGTGCAGGGGGCCTGGGTTCCATCTTTGGCCAGCTAACTAGATCCCCCATGCCGCAACCTGACAAGCCAAATAATTAAATAAAAATAAATATTAAAAAAAAAAATTTACTTCTTTTTTATGCAGAACAATTTTAGCCCCCTGGACCCAACCCTCCCATTGAGATTAGTCTTTTACCTTGACCAAACAAAAAAAGACCATGATTTATCTGTTTAGCTTTCAACTCAAAGAGAAACTAGCTTTTAAATAGCTTTTTTCCCCCACTTCCAGATACCTCCTTATCTTAGAGAAGAAGACATCAGTTTGGAAAGGTGAAGCAATTTGACTAAACTAGAACATCAGACCTGGGATTTAAAGGCAGATCATGGGATCATATACACTCACCCTGTGGGATCCAGGAGGAACCCATGGGTAGTAGAATTCGAGGACACGCAAACCCCTCAGGTGAGGAGTAGAATCAGCCCTCTGTTGCCATGGGCTGCGAATCCAGAGGCTCCATATCCAAGGACTGGAGGACTGACTGCAGTGCACATGCTCCTCGCTAGGCCCGTGCTTCACCATACCGCGGTGATCCTGCCGATAAGGTGCTGGCCTCCAGCTGTCCACCTGTTGGGGGAAGATCTGGTAAATACCAGGCCAGAGTTCTCAGAGAGGCTAAGTAAGAGTTCTTAGGGTAAAGACTGTAACTAGTCCATTTCATTCAGTACATAGCACAATTCCTGCCAATAAAGGGGCTCAAGACATTTGAGGGGGGAAAAGATTGTGAGCCTTCACTTATGTCCTTGGGGGTTTTGGAGCCAGGGCCAGCTAAGAGTCTTTCATTCAGGAAGGACTATTTAGCAGTCCTTAGCAGATCTCTACAAAAAAGATCTTAATGATGTAGATAACCCCTTTGGTGTGATCACTCACTTAGAACCAGATATCCTGGAGTGCAAAGTCAAGTGGGCCTTAGGAAGCATCACTATGAACAAAGCTGGTGGAGGTGATGGAATTCCAGCTGAGCTATTTCAAATCCTAAAAGATGATGTTGTTAAAAGTGCTGCACTCAATATGCCAGCAAATTTGGAAAACTCAGCAGTGGCCACAGGACTGGAAAAGGTTAGTTTTCATTCCAAACTCAAAGAAGAGCAATGCAAAAGAAATGTTCAAACTACTGCACAATTGCACTCATTTCACATGCTAGCAAAGTAATGCTCAAAATTCTCCAAGTTAGGCTTCAACAGTACATGAACCATGAACTTCCAGATGTTCAAGCTGGTTTTAGAAAAGGCAGAGGAACCAGAGATCAAATTGCCAACATCCACTGGATCACAGAAAAAGCAAGAAAAAGCAAGAGAGTTCCAGAAAAACATCTACTTCTGCTTCATTGACTATACTAAAGCCTTTGACTATGTGGACCACAACAAACTGTGGAAAATTCTAAGAGATAGGAATACCAGACCACCTTATTTGCCTCCTGGGAAATCTGTATGCAGGTCAAGAAGCAACAGTTAGAATGGCCATGGAATAACAGATTGGTTAAAAACTGGGAAAGGAAAACATCTAGGCTGTATATTGTCACCCTGATTATTTAACTTATTTGCAGAGTACATCAGGAGAAATGCCTGGCTGGATGAGGCACAAGCTGGAATCAAGACTGCCAGGAGAAATATCAATAACCTCAGATATGCAGATGACACCACCCTTACGGCAGAAAGCGAAGAACTAAAGAGCCTCTTGATGGAAGTGAAAGAGGAGAGTGAAAAAGCTGGCTTAAAACTCAACATTCAAAAAATGAAGATCATCGCATCCGGTCTGATCACTTCAGGGCAAATAGACGGGGAAACAATAGAAACAGTGATGGACTTTATTTTCTTGGGCTCCAAAATCACTGCAGATGGTGACTGCAGCCATGAAATTAAAAGACACTTGCTCCTTGGAAGAAAAGTTATGACCAACCTAGACAACATATTAGAAAGCAGAGACATTACTTTGCTGACAGAGGTCTGCCTAGTCAATGCTATGGCTTTTCCAGTAGTCATGTATGGATGTGAGAGCTGGACCATAAAGAAGGCTGAGTGCCAAAGAACTGATTCTCTTGAACTGTGGTGCTGGAGAAGACTCTTGAGAGTCTCTTGGATGGCAAGGAGGTAAAACCAGTCAATCCTAAAAGAAATCAATACTGAATATTCACTAGAAGGACTGATGCTGAAATTGAAGCTCCAATACTTTGGCCACCTGATGCAAAAAGCCAACTCAGAAAAGACCCCAATGCTGGAAAAAAATCGAAGGCAGGAGGAGAAGGGGATGACATAGGACAAGTGGTTGGATGACATCACTGACTCTGGACATGAGTTTGAGCAAGCTCTGGGAGATGGTGAAAGACAGGGAAGCCTGGCATGCTGCAGTCCATGGGGTCACAAAGAGTCAGACACGCCTGACCGACTGAACGACAATAGTTTAGCAGTGGCCCAAAAGAAGTTGCACAGACAATAAAAGATCAAGCAGTCACTACTTTTTTTGCTGCAGACCACTGAATCTTATAATTAACCAATACTCAATGAGTCCTGCTCCACAACTCAAAACATCCCCTACTGTTCCCTCTTTCTATGTGTGTTAGTTGCTCAGTTGTGTCTGACTCTTTGTGACCCCATGGACTGTAGCCCACCAGGCTCCTCTGTCCATGGAGTTCTTCACACAAGAGGACTGGAGTGGGTTGCCATTCCCTTCTTCAGGGGATCTTCCTGACCCAGGGATCGAATCTGGGTCCTCCTGCACTGTAGGCAGAGTCTTTACTGTCTGAGCCATGATTAGGCAACCGTGATCTTCCCCCCTCTTTCAATTCTTGGAAAAGATAAACCTACAACTGTGTTCTCTGCATGCACCTGTCCTCTGGACAAACCTGCACCTCCACACCCTTCTCTCCACCTGACTCCCTCAGCCAACCAGGCTAAAAGACAACCCCTCAACCATCCGGGGACAGTTATGACACCTCTCAGATCACACCAAGAGAGACAAAACACATCAAGAAATTATGGCCAGGACTTCCCTGGTGGTTCAGTGGCTAAGACTCCAGGCTCCTAATACAGGGGACTTGGGTTTGATCCCTGGTCAGAGAATTAGATCCCACATGCCACAACTAAAGATCCTGCACCCCACAGCTAAAAATCAGCACAGCCAAATAAATACCTTAAAAAAAAATTATGGCCATTTTGGGTAACACAGAAGCATGGTTTCTTTACATATGAACATACACCCAATGTGGATGAATCTCAAAAGGATTATGTTAAACAAACTAAGTCAGACGCAAAAGGCCACATGGTCTGTCATTCCATGGATGTGACATTCTCGAAAAAACCTGCAGGAACGGAAATCAGGTCAGTGGTTGCTAGAGACAGGCGGTATGGAGAGGAAATTTATTACAAAAGGACACAAGTGAAACATGCTGGGTGATGGAAATAACCTCAGTGTATTGGCGGTTACTTGATTATACAAACCTTTCAAAATTCATAGTACTGTAACCTAAGAAGGGTATATTTTGCTATATACAAATTATACCTCACTAAACTTGACATGAAAAAACCAGTGGAAAGGGGTAAAGGTCCAGGCCTGAAGGAACCTGATCCCCAGGAACTCTGATGCAGGCTGTCCATGGCCCATATTCTGAGAACTGCTAACGTCTGGGTTGTGTCACAACGCCTTTGTCCTTAGCAAATGCACTGTACTTACTTTTTGAGCTGAGTATTATTTCACAGTGATTAGGAGGATCTGGGTCAGAAATTTGCCCACTGGGGAGTCTAGCAGGGCTGGCAGTGAGACTCAAAAAAAAAAAAAAGGATTTTTTTCTACTTTTAAAGAAATGCCTGTCTTTTAGAACTTACAAACAACAGTCCTATAAATACACTGCATTTGTTTTCTCTTGCTACTATTAACAAATTTTCCAAAACTTTAAAATTACCTTAAGCTTCTGGTTATCAAAGTCTTAAATGAGTTGACAGGGTTAAAGTCTTCTGGAGGCCCTAGGGTAGATTCATTTCCTTCCCTTTTTCAACTTCTAAAGTTGCCTGCATTCCTTGGCTCCTTGCCTGCTCCCACCTGCAAAGCTAGAAATGGCTGATCAAATCCCTCACAGCCTGTACCACACTGACAGTGATGCTATGCCTTCCTCTTTTACTTACTAGGACTCTTATGATGACACTGGTCCCATGTGACTAACCCAGGAAGTCTCCCTATCTCAACATCCTCAACATAACCACATCTGCCAAATCCCTTTTGCCACGGAAGGTAACATATTCACAAGGCCTAGGCATTAGGACATGAACATCCTTGAGGGACCCATTATTCCACCTACCACGTTTGCCTAAGCAGAAGCCAGGCAGTTGCTCATGTTTAAGACAAGACAAGAAGAACAAATCACCCATCTGTTTTCATGCCTGATGGATTTGAATACAACTGGGAAAGTCCTATTTTCTTCTGGTCCAAACAGGCTGAACAAGTCAGTTAATCAGCATGACCGTACAGAATGACGAAGCTACTACAAGGATTGCCAAGAGAGTCTGTGGCTTCCTTTTACTTTCACTACTGCTACTCTTGGAGAACCAGAAAAAACTATTAAAAATGTGTTTACTTTTACTTACACACACACACACACACACACACACACACACACACACCTTATTCTATTTCCAAACAGCTTACATAGAGGCCAGTGTCTTTGAGATCTATAGAGATCTGTTGAGATCTATTTCCAATCTCAATTGGAAAATTGAGATTTTCCAATGTCTCCTATATAACAGTCCTAGATGACATCCAGTTTACTCAAGGATGCTCTTTACCTTGTCATTAAGATCATAGACCTGATCAGAGATAGAAGCACTGACCTTTAGATCTCAAAGCATGAAAGCATGTTTTTGTTTTCTTTTTTTCCTTTAAACTGTGTCTCCTCTTAATTTCAGTGCTGCTGCTTCTGCTCCTAAGTCACTTCAGTTGTGTCCGACTCTGTGCGACCCCATGGATGGCAGCCCACCAGGCTCTTCTGTTGGGATTCTCCAGGCAAGAACACTGGAGTGGGTTGCCATTTCCTTCTCCAATGCATGAAAGAGAAAAGTGAAAGTGAAGCCGCTTAGTCATGTCCGACTCCTAGCGACCCCAAGAACTGCAGCCTACCAGGCTCCTCCGTCCATGGAATTTTCCAGGCAAGAGTACTGGAGTGGGTTGCCATTGCTTTCTCCAAATTTCAGTGCTAGATTCTATAAAAGATAAATGAGATTTGCAGATAGATTTCTTGGTTTTTTTCCATTTATTTTTATTAGTTGGAGGCTAATCACCTTACAACATTGCAGTGGTTTTTGTCATACATTGAAATGAATTAGCCATGGATTTACATGTATTCCCCATCCCGGTCCCCCCTCCCACCTCCCTCTCCACCCGATCCCTCTGGGTCTTCCCAGTGCACCAGGCC